AATATCTCAGAACTTGGAGCCCTGGATTCCTTCGGATATTCAGAATGAAGGTTATGTCTGGCAAAGAAGATCAGAAAATATCGGCAAGGTAAATCTCCACGTTTCCAGATGAAAACCTTGTCTCTGGAGATACCAACACATCACCTTGAGTTTTTACATTAAGTGTATGGAACAGATAGTGCCCTTTGATGTGGAGGTGGTAGCTGTGTACGAATAACTAAGCACAGGAAATGTTTAAAAGCACTGACTGCTGAGTCTGTTTGTTCATAATGCTAAGACTGCAACATGATATGCTGAAATTTGGAGTGTTCCACTAATTCTCCCATGCCGTAATTTCTTGTGGCTGTAATCTGAATGGAGATAACATATCAGAGGATTGATATAAGATATGAATAAATATGTATATTGCATTAGGGCAATGGTAAGCCAAGCTAATTCCAGATAGCAGTAAAGTTCATAAACAAACCCCTTCCTCCAAAAACCTCTTTAATATAGCTAAAACTTTGCAATCAGACTATTTCAAAAGACATGATTTGATTTTAAGCATGCATGCAATATTTATACTATTTCAAAAGATAAAAATATACTTTAATTACTTTGGAGAACGAGATACTCAGTGCTTAAACCATGTGAGACTGCAGCTTTTTAATGTACTCCATGTATTTCTTGATATAATATTCTAATTAAAGTACTTTTCCAGGTGACATTTTGAATGCCTTAAACAAAGACACATTGATTCAAAGATTTTCGGAAATATGCAATACATTTTCGAACTATAAAGATGATACAGAGACTGCAGAGTAGAAAGAATGAAACCTGTCAAAACCTGTTCAAGCCACCATGCAGAAAAGGGAGGAAATGTGACACAGACTATAAAATGCCTAAGAAAGTGGTTGAACAAGAAAAATAATGGGGAAAGATGCAGCAATTTGCCAGTCGGTGTTTTTCACTTTCTAATTTTTATTCAGCAATGGATTTCACTAATAAAGGTAAAGAAGAGAGAGAAAACCTGAGGTTATTAATAAATTACCTTGGCTGCATGCACTGTTAGCCATGCAAATCACGCCTTTGTCTAGCTTTGAGGAAAGCAAAATGCCTAACTAGAGGAAAGCAGCAGGACTATTAACAAAGTGTCCCGTGACTCTTACATGCCTAGCTCCCCAAATGCACTGAGGTCTTGCTGAGCATGTTTGTTGAAAGCACTTATCTGTGAACCAGGTACAAGGCGAGCTGAAATCAAAGCCTGCAGGCACACTGAAGATTTACTGTGATTCAGCAAAAAACATGTTTAGGAAATTTGCTGAGATTTGTGGGCTAAACTTGTTTTCAAACTTCTAAAAATGAAGTAGAATATAGAATGACATTGTAAACTTTGATTTTTGAAATTGTCTTCTGTTTGCCCTTCATGGCAATGACAATATAGAAAACAGAAGCCGGTGGACTTAATGGGGTCACTGAATGGGAAGGCTGGTGAGAGGAGAGTACATGACTCCCCAGATAACTCCCATTTAAAGGTCCAGTAACTCAAATAGGTCAAGAACCTAGAGGCAGAGACTATGGAGGATTGTTTCTTACTAGCTTGCCCCCTTGTCATGGCTGGCTCAGGCAACTTTTTCTGTAAACCCAGGACTACCAGTCCAGGAGTGGCTCCACCCACAATGGACTCAGCTTTCCTCAATCCTTAATAAAGAAAACCTCCCCCCTTCCCTCCTTCCCCTTCTCCCCACTCACACTTGACAATAGGTAAACAGTATGGAGAAATTTTCTCAGTTTTGGTTACATTTTTCCAGATGACCCTAGCTTGTGTCAAAGTGACTAAATTAACCAACACACCCAGTAAGGAGGGGAGGGGATGGGTGTGAATTGTTGTCATTAACTGAGGAGCTATTTGCATTTAGTAGCTGCTGGGAAAGGGACAGTCAGTTTTCTTTAATGATGTGACACTTGGCATCTCCGGGCAGACTCCATATCCAAGAAATGTCTGTCAGCACCAACTGGAGTGAATGGGGAGATAGGAGAGCAGGTGGGCAGGGGCGGGGCGGGGGGGACACGAAGATGCAGATAGAGACAGAGACATACAGAGAGACACAGAGACAGAGAAAGAGAAAGAGACCATGAATATAAAGTAGGTAGGAAGGAGGTGGATATTTTTGGAAGAGTGGAGGAGGGAAAGTGAGTATGGTCAAATTATCTCTATTAAATTCTCAAAGAATTGGGCTGGAGAGGTGGCTCAGTGGTTATGATCACTGCCTGCTTTTCCAGAGGTCTTGAGTTCAAATCCCAGCAAACTACGTGGTGACTCACAGCCATCTATCTTGGAATCTGATGCTCTCTTCTAGCTTGCAGGTTTATCTACACATAAAGCACTCATATACATAAATAACTAAACCTTACAAAACATTCTCAAAGAATTAATAAAACCAACTATGTTCATAGCAGCTTTATTCATAATAGCCAGACTGGAAATAACCTAGATATCCCTCAACCAAGGAATGGATTTTAAAAACTGTGGTAAACATTTACACAATGAAGTATTACTCTATTTAAAAAAAAAAAAAAGAAAATCATGAAACTTGCAGCCAAATGAATGAAACTAGAAAAAAGGTATCCCGAGTGATATAATCCATTCCTGGACATGGAAATGCTTAGAAGGGGGCATTAGCTACTAAGTAAAGGATAACCATGCTACATACAATCTACAGACCCAGAGAGGCTAAACTAACAAGGAGGGTTGAATGAGGGAATGCATGGATCCCTAGATTGATTTTGCAAGTGAACTGGGGGCAGGTGAGGATCAGACAGTTGGGAAGGATGGAATAATGGGAAAGATACCTGGAATTGGAGGGGATTTCAGAGTGATGCAGAAACCTAGTGCAGTGGAATCTTCTAGACTGGCCCTATGAAAGACTACTAGTAGTGGAGGCTATGGAGACCGAATGGGTCATCTTGTATAGCCAAGCAGTGGTTCCAGCAGTAGGACTAAGACACAAACCCAGACACAAACCCAGACACAAACCCAGACACAAACCTTTTAATCTACAATCTACCCTGCTTCTAAGATGTGCTGGAAAAATGGTGGCACAGAATTTGTGGGCATGACCAACCAATGACTGGTCCAAATTTAGATCCACACAAAGAGATGGAGCCCCACATCTAACACTTAGTCGATGGCCAGAAACCAGAGGCTGGTCAGCCAAGAGACATAGGATAGAACCAAACATAACTTGGGAAAAATTCAATAAACTGATCACTAGTGTTATTTTTCTACACTCATAGATCGGTAGCCTAGCCCAGTTGTCATTAGAAAGATATCATCCAGCAACTGAAGGGAGCAGATGCAAGAATCCACAGCCCGAAGCTAAGTGGAGCCTCTGGGAGAAGCATGCAGAAGAGGATAGGGAGAGGATTTCAGGGGAACTCGAGAACACCATGAATACAGAACCCACGGCATCAACTAAGCACAGCTCATAGGGAATCAGAGACTGAAGTGAAAGTTATGGATCCTGTATGGATATGAGGTATGACCTCTGCATAGACCTTAGGATTGTGCAGCTGGATGTTCTTATGAGATTACTAGCAGTGGGACTGGGGACGGGGTAGCTCTGATTCCTTTGCCTGCTCTTGGGGCTCTTTTCATCTTACTGGAGTCCCTCTTTCAGCTCTCTTTTAAAAAACAAACAAACAAAAAAACAAACAATAAAACAAAGGGAAACGAGGAGAAGTGGATTGAAGGATAAGTGAAATGAGAAGGATATCAGTGTGATGGAGGGAGTGGAAACTGCAGTTGGGATATAAGATAAGAAAGAAGAATAAAATACAATGTATTGTTTTTAAAGATAATGAGCTAAGTCTGATGAAAGGATTGTTACACAACAAAGACCTTTCATGGCATAGGAAGACACTCTGCATACCCAGCTCATCCTTCAGTCAAATGAAGTAAGACATAAGATTCACCTACCATCCTGTCAAGATTTCTAGAAAGTATCATATAAAATATTTTTATTTTAAATACAGCTATAGAGATAATGCCACAGATAGCTATATAGATTAGATATAGATATAAATTAGATATAGATACATATAGGTATAGATATATAGCTATAGATTATATAGGTATAGATTAGGTAGATAGATAAATAGAGATGGTATAGCTATACATGATACAAACACACACACACACTCACACACACACACACACACACACACGAGATAAATAGATGCCACCATTTGAGTAAAACAGCTTGAGGAGGCTGATCTAGCTAATGATTTCCAATCATCTTTAGCACCCTAGTTTTCTATTTGTTTTCTTCTCCCTCTGAGTAAAAATTTGCCACTGAGAAAAGAATTCTCATTAATGTAGCTGTGAAGGCCAATAAAAGTTATGAATATTTTAATCAAGCTAGCAGAATCTTCCAGGGTTCATTTTAACCCTTCTTTAGGGATAATTTCTGAAGAATTAGAATATTTCTGTTCCATAATCCGAAAGAAAAAATTCTGAGTGACATGAAACTAACTATAATCCTAAGAGATGATCTTAGAGTCCCGGTAGCAAATGATTAAGAGGAAAATGAACATCCTTTGATGTAATATTTTGTAAGGTATAATCACTGCAGAGCAGTAGCTTAGGCCTCCTGTTCATACGTATACTCTTGATGCTCAGGTTGATGTATATAAAATTAAACTATAAACTGAAGGGTGAGACCAGTTTTCCAAAACAAGAGAGGCTCTCATGAAACAGAAAAATTGGGCAATAGTGTGAGGGCTTCAAAGGCAACACAAAGATTTCAGCTGAAATGTAGTTTAAATGTGAGAAACGTCTGGAGAATGAAGTGGTTTAGTTTGTGTTAAAATTGAAAGTGGATGTCTCGATTATTAGAAATACTGTGGGAAAGAAAAAAATTAAATGTAAATATATATATTTGATATCTATATGGTTTGAAATCTGTCCATTGTTAATCTGTGCAGTTTCTCTCTGATATTATTTTTAATAATATCTTTTGCCTGCTCTTAGGGGCAGTCCACATGTGGCAGAGGTATGCATGAACCATAGCAGGTGGCAGAGAGGAGATAGGCTATGTCTATGTTCTATGTTCTGACCTGTGAACATCTGAGTGATGAGTAGCCTAACATTCTCTGAAAAGGGCCTGCCTGAAATGACTCTGATGGTGCCTTACACGGATGAGGTAGGGGAGTGGACAGGCTGCACCTTGCTTGGTGCTATAAATCACAAGTGGGGCATAGCACTCCTGAGAAAACTTCTGAGATAAACCCAGACACTCAGAGATCCCAGGGACCACTATGAGGAGAAATGGAAAAAAAAGAGAAGCAGAAGGATGTATACACAATGAAGAGAGGCAGACCTGGAGACCTGAGAGTAGTGAGGAACAGCCTGATGTGGATAGCCAGTGGAGCCACCTGGGACTATGGTGAGGTCTTGGCCTGTGCTGCCTTGGATTTGTGGCCTGCAGCAGAAGGAGTCTGTGGGGACTTCTTGCTGTCTGAGGTGCAGAACTTACCCCATCCCTAACCTGGGCATCAAGGGAGAGCTGACCCTGGGAGCACGAAAGCAGAAGAGCTGACCCTGCTCCTAGCCAGCTACAGGCAGGGGCAGGAGACTCAGGAGAATGATCCTACATCTCTCTGAGAAGCACAGTAGAGCTGGTCCCAAGCACATGAGTGCAGGAGAGCAGGCCCTGCCTATTGTCTGCTGTGATGTGGCATGGAAGAGGAAGAGATGCCCTCCTCCCCTTCCTCATCCCTTGCTGCTGGTGGCAAGCAAGAAAACTGGCCTTGGGGTCATAAGAGTGGGAGAACTAGCCACGTTCCTCACTGGCTGCCACATTCAGAAAGAACAGGCCTTATATCTCCCCTCGGCAGCAGGATAAAGCTGGCCCTGGTTTTAAAGGTAGCTTGTGAGCAGGCCCCAAGAGGGTGAGACAGAGAGAGTTTGGGGGACTGGCCAGCTCAGACACCTTTTAGCCTCAGATCCAGGGATTTGAATTTCCCAACCCAACATCTAGCTCATCAAAGAGTTGCTGGAGTTCATGATCCTAAACTACAGGATCTCCATGACACAGGGCAACGACAGGATATCCATGAGGAGTTTCGTTGACATTCCAACATTAATAGAGTAGCAGAAACTAGAGGCCTAGTACCAGATTGAGTCATAATGAACATTCGCAAGCAAAGAAGTGTAGGCAAAAGGGTGTGCTTTGGAACACACAACAGCTGCTAAATGAGATTTTTTTTTTTTCTGTTGGTGGGGAGGTTACAAGTGTGGAGAGTGGGTGTGAGGAGAGGGGGGAGATGAGTGTGATTGGGGTGCATGATGTGAAATTCACAAAGAACCAATAAAAGGTTAAAAAATATTTATACCTTTTGAGATTATATCCTTTGGTTCTTCTCTTTTGATCCTCCAGCCTTCCCATGTCACACCTGTGTCTCTCTTTCAGTTCATGGCCTTTTAATTGTTGTTGTTGTGGTTGTGGTGTGTGTGTATGTGTGCGTGTATACTTAAATGTATAAATACAACTACAACCTGCTCATTCTGCATAATATTATTCATATATTTAAGTTTTCAGGAGTGATTACTCCATATTAGATAGCCAATTGTTCTTCCCTGCAAGACTATTTCCCCTGAATTCAGCATTCCTTACTTGCCTGTAGTTTTCCACCTAGGGTTGAGGCCCTCAGAGTTCTCCCTTTTCTGTGTTACATGACTATTGGTGCCATTCTTTTGTCAGATCACACTGAGGAGGTCACGTTGGTAAGAGTTCTAGAGTGCAGCTTCTAAAATATGTAGGAGACACAATCTCACAGCAAATCTTTCCGTTCTTCTGGCTCTGACAATCTTCCTGTCCTCTCTTCCACAGTGATCACTGAGCTCTGGGTGCAAGAGTTGCATTTTAGATGTGTCAGTGGAGACTAAGCTTGACGAATCTTCCTTTTGAACAGCTGTAGGTTTCTATAATAGTCTCTGTTGAAATAAGTTTTCTTGAGGAGTGAGACCTAAATTGAGTATAAAGATAAATATTAAGAATATAATAAGGAATTATTGTAGTTTAGTAAAGTGGTAGCTTTGCATTCTGCGCCAATGTCCGTAGGTACTAGTGTAGGACTGAAGTAAGACTCATGATTTCTCTCTGAATAAGTAGGTCTTAAGAACAGTTAGAGAGCTCTGGTTACTGCCAAAGTATGTGTGCCACCACTACACCCTTGGGGGTTCCAAATCTCAACAGTTACCATCATACCTCATTTTGGGGCCAAAAAAGAAATAAATGGAAATAACTAAAGTGTGGAGAACTCTGTGGGTGCCTTTTTTCATCCATTACTTGAATGAATGATATTCACAGATGGCTCTTGAGATACCTTTATCCTTTTTCTTGCTAGCGTTACTGCTGACTTGTTTTATAATTGAGCAACTAATCTCTAATACTGTTATGAAGGATATTTTTTCAATAGGGGATGCAGGTGAATTTCATGAAGGGGTCCAGAGGGCTTTCAATTTTAAAATAAGTTCCTATTGTATAAAATCATAATATCACATCTTTTTTGAATTTGCTGTTACATTCACTTCCCTTTTGAATTCAGCCATTGGCATATGCTAGAATGAATAGAAGATTTCGTTCTCTAGAATTATGTGTGTATAGTGCTTTACTACATAATAATAATCTGACTTACACTGAAAGTGGTTATAATTTTGCTATATCCATCTATTAAAAACAAGTTATTTGAAAAAGCAAACAACCTTACTTTTTTTCTTTTCTTTGAAAACTCCGACTTTAAAGAAACATCATTAGAATCTACCAGAGTATTTAAGATGTTGGAATCACTTATTTTACTCTCTGTCATAATACTGAAATCCAATACAAAGATTTTTAAAAGAAAATTGCCATACCTTCACAACTAACTATAAAAGTGTGTGTGTGTGTGTGTGTGTGTGTAATTATTCATTTCTGCTTATTTTCTTTTTTATTTTCAGGTCTAAAGCTCATTCCTTTGTCACTTTTTCAGTGAGCTTGTTAACCTAGCTCATTGTCTTAATGTATGTTTATCCCACATATATTGATAAATTAGCAATTACTTACTCTGAGATTCTTACTATACTCAGCGAATTACAAGGTCATTTAAAAATGCTTTTAGAAGACAAAGGCTCCATCGCAGCTCTTAGGATGATGGTAGTGGGTCAATGTACCATAGTCTCTTAGAGCTCTGAGATGGTTCAAAAACTAAAAATTAAGATACCAAGGAAAAGAATAGGAAAACTTGTATTCAAACTTCATGCAATGAATCTAAACCACTATAACTCTTATAGCATTCTTCCTTAAAGTATTGCAATGGTCTTCTATAGCCTGTAGTAAAAAAATCCAAAGATGCGTAGTGTTTGCTCTAACCCTCTAGAAAACAGAAATGAGTAATTTATTCATATCGACTGCTTTGTAAAAACAATTTTCATAACCCAAACTTGAACACAGAAGATATTAATTAATTAATTCTTCATAGCTTCCATGTCTCTCTCTTCTCTCTCTCTCTCTCTCTCTCTCTCTCTCTCTCTCTCTCTCTCTCTCCCTCCCTCCCTCCCTCCCTGCCTCCCTCCCTCTGTGTGTGTGTGTGTGTGTGTGTGTGTGTGTGTGTGTGTGTGTAAAAGAGAGAAGAAAAAGGAAAGGAAAAGAGAAAGAAGTGCATGCTCAGTCTGCAATGACGTCATCTCAGAAAGGGGTATTCATCATTTTTATTCAATTGTTCATACATATGGTTTGTATTAGTAACTTTTATGCTGCTGTTACAAAAACACCATGACAGAGTTACCTTATATAGAAAGAAGGGTTTATCTGAGCCCACAGCTCCAGAGGGATAAGATTTTATTATACCAAAGAGGCCTAGCAGCAGGCAGACATGGTAGCCAGACAAGGAAGCTGAGCGTTCATATCTTCAAACACAAGTACAAACTAGAGTAAGCAAAATGGTAGTGGAGCAGAGTCTTTAAACTCACAAAACCTGATACCACTGACATGCTTCTTTCAACAAGGCCACATTCCCTAAAACTCCCAAATCGTCCAACAACTGGAGACCCAGTGAAAAACACCTGAACCAATAAAGGGCATTCTCATTCAAATGACTAGACAAACTCTGGTTCAGTGTGAAGAGTGCAGAATAGCAAATCTCTGAAAGATGGAGGACTGCCTTAATGAGAAGACACTGAAGAAGGTTTTGTTGTCCCTCACTAAAACGTCAGTTGTCTTGACAGACAGCTTCGTGATGACGTCATGGATACGTCAGACATTCTATCTTTCTCTCACAGGCATGTGTTTATGGCCTACCTGAGCCAACAGCTCCCGATTCCCTGTAAAATTCTCATCCTTTCCATCTTTGCTAATCAGGCATCTGTGAAGCGCCTTCTCTCTCTTGGAACCTTTCTGAATCCTGCTTCTAGATGTAATTAAAAATATTTTCTCTGGCACATGTTTCCAGACTTCATTAAGCATAGTGAGCACCTGCTTTTGTCTGCTCCACTGACATCTTTGTTAATTTATTTATTACACTGACTTAATTATTTCTTAAATCTGAAAAAAAAAAAAGAAAATGTGAGTAACAATTCTGCATCCTCAGAAGAGTGTGAGCCCATGAAGCAGATCTGTTGTGTAATTTGGTTTAGTTCATGCTCCCCATCCTTTACATAGGGCTATAATGTAGAACATACTCTTTAATACAAGTTAACTTAAGGAATAAGAAAATTAGTAGTGTTCTGTCTTTATGTGTATCTGTGTCTTACTCAGTGTTCTACGGCTGAGAAGAAAGACCATGCTCAAGACAACTTTTACAGAAGAAAACATTTAATTGGGGCTTGCTTGCAATAGCAAAATATTTACTCTATTATCATCACAAAGGAGAACATGAAAGCAGACAGGAGTTTATGCTGAAGAAGTAGCTGTGACCAAGATCTTGAGCCATGGGGGGGCGGGAACAGGGAGATGGAGAGGGACAGGGACAAGGACAGGGGCAGGGAGGGAGAGAAGGACAGGGAGATGGAGAGAGAGAGGGAGAGGGACAGAGACAGAGACAGAGACTAGGTCTAGCATGGGTTTTTTAAATTATAAAAGTCACCCTGAGTGACACACTTCCTCCAACAAG